TTTTAACATGAGTAGTTGGCCACAAATTGTGTCCATCCTGAAGGCTGAAACAGTTATACCCTAAATAGATAGACATTTCGGTTTGCTTTTACACCGAGAAAGCACCGGGCTTCTACTATATTATAATTTTGGCCGTTTAATGTCACAGCAAATTCGCATTTTTCTGATACTTATATGACTATTAATTGTGCAATCGTCACAATATGTTACAGTAACTCTAGGCAGAGAGGGGGGGGCAGGCAACGCCCTGATCACAAGTGGAGCTGGTTGAATAAATTAAAAGGTAATTTATATAAGTAGCTACAGGTATCGCAACGCCCTGTTGTCAAATTGAAATGGCATCGTCTCCGACAGTGAAGTGTTTTATGTCTTTTCGTAATGCTGATGCCTGCGGTGAATTTAAAGGCCATCAAGATCTGGTACTACTTAGTGAATGCAAAAATAATATAACTTGTATATAAAAATCATTGTGAAAAGGGATCATTCCAAGCTTCTGTGCTAAAACCAAGAGCAAAACGCTATACTAATTGGTAAATCGCGCTCAATGGATTTTTACTCCTTTATTTATGCAGGTACGATTTTTCTGAACCTCAGTTTGGAAAAGACGTGTGTGATAGAATTATCAGTCCGTTGAAAAGTGCTCTAACAAGGTACTGCAATGAAGGGAATGATATTACTTATCATCGCAAAGGACAGCGGGAGCGAAAAAGGCTTTTCCTCCGTCACACCGAGGCGCATGACGCTGCCTACTGTGCAAGAAGAGGAAGCCGATGTTGTTGATGACGCGAGTTATCAGTGCAACGAACCTGGGTGTTCATACGTTTCCGCAAACTTTGAAGCGCTGCAAGATCACATAAACTTTGGCAGGCATGTGCTGAGTACAAAAGGCAACGAAGGAATTTACGACAGACTTCGTCGGGAATGGGCACACAAGTTCGCAACACTGTCTATTGAACCCGTAAATAGAACATCAAACATTCCGGTCAAAGTCTCTTATTCGCGCCAAGATTGGACTCCTGAGTCACGCGGGTGGGCTTTGCAGAATCCAAGAGGAGGCGGGACGAGGTTTAGTGAGAACGTAAAAAGCTATCTACAATCACAATTTGGTACAGGAGAGCTGACAGGTAGAAAGGCCGACCCGAACCAAGTTTCTAAGGAAATGAGAGCTGCCAGGAATCTCGATGGTACCCGAAAGTTCAACAGGGAAGAATGGTTAAACAAGACCCAGATTCAGTCATTTTTTTCGAGGTTGGCAGCCAGGAAGCGTAAACGGCAAACAGAAGGTCAAGAAACTGCTTTAGGAGGTGATGATGGCTTGATGCAGACGCAGAAAACGAGGAGCAGCTCTTGGAGGACGAAATTGAATTCCTGAACGAGAAACACCGAAACCAGGTCATAGAGGTGCTCAATCAAGTGGGATTGGTGCACCCCATCACGTATGATGGGTACAACATCTGCGAGCTAGCCAAGCTTGACAAGTTGTCACGGTTCAAAGTGAAAGAACTGAAGGAAATGTGTAACTTTTTTGAGTTATCTCCTAAAGCTAGAGACACAAAGCCTTTATTAATTGAAAGAATAAAGCGCATGGTTGAGTGTTTCTGCACCTAGACCTTAGGTCCAAGCCATTCATCGCAACACCTGAGTATTAATTGAACAAATAAAATTATGTCAACCACATTATGAACGGCACATTATGGTAAATCGTGTTTTGCCCTAACTCGATATCTGCGTAATAGAAAAAGAAAGGAAACTCCTGGATTTATTAATTACTACATAACTTGTCGTCGCGTGATGTGTCTCGTGACATGCTTGTAATTACAACGTTATATTATTGGACAGAGTCGTGTTTACATCAGACAGGAAATTATACGTGTTTACATCAGACAGGAAAATATGACAGCCGAAAATGTGCTAAATGTAAAAGATACTGTGCAAGCAAAGGATACTAAGCAAACAAACTTTGATTGTGGAAATTATATTCCTATATAAAGTACAGCTCTTGCTGCAAATTCTTTAAACAGATTCTGGGAAATCAAATGAATTAAACACGGCTCACTAATTCTGATTCTTTCGCTAAAACACTGGTCCAAGAGAAAAATTTGAAAGAATTACACGTCAAAGATGCTTCTATGGATAAAACTGTGCTTGGGAATGCCGTATAATTACTATAATGCGTGTTTGAATATTTCTCTGCGCCCGTGACTTGACAACAAGATATTGTAAACAATGGCGTATTACTCGAGACGGAAGTTCAACTCGCGTCAAATTCAAAGCGATACCCACAACTTTGATATAATAAACTATCAGCACGAGGTAAGATCTCGACTATAGAATGTGATTTGTCCCCAATATCGGTGCCGAATTCGAGATTTTAGCCTCTAATTTTGGGTAATTTTTTAGTATATTCGGATCGCCTTAGCATACAGGCGTCTTTCAGTGGGCTTAGTTTATTTATATTTTTATGTTTGTCCACGATCTTGCAGTCATGAACTATTAAAATGTATCTTAATATTATGGTATAGAAATGTTTTGCTGACACTTGTTTGTTTTCCTGCAGCGCACCTCTAGATTTTCGCAAATTTCGGGTACGGAATCGGCCTCAAAATGGATGTCTAGTCTAGAAAACGAAATCGGTCTTGTGTCTGAACGGAAAAAAGATTGAGCTCAAAAGAATACCCATTTTGAAACTTACACATCAAGTCCTTTTAAGTGAAAAATTAAGAAGGACTTTTAATTTCTGACGCGAAAACGATTGGACCGCTCTTAGGCAGACAGCCTCTTAATTATTTACAATATTTACAAATTCACCGTTCAATAATTTTTCGTGGGATGCCAACAACTCAATCGGCCAGATGTAATAGCCACCCTTCTCAATGACGTCCCCATCAAACTCTGTTGGACAAACTGGCTTAAGCGTACAATCTGGTACAACGTAATAAATTGCGATACCAACATGACCTTTTGGTAAAACATGGTTGTGCAATGTTTTCATAGAAAACAATGTGCATAAAGCTTGAGCTTTCTTGTCTTTATCCAATACCATTAATTTTGAACCTTCGTCTTAAAATAAATAAAGATAACAATAGATAGTTAATAATGTAGAAATACTCCATGGTTGTTGCGAAACAGCACGTTTCTAACATTTGATATTATTCACAAACAATTGATGACCTGAAACGAAAGTCTTCAAAACCAATGTAGCCAAAGTGGTGTGATATTGATTTCATTTACATGAGATATTATTTCAATTCTTGGAATTAACAACGACCACAAATGCTTAAAAATAAAACAATTTTATTGTTTACAACGTTTAGGAGTCGGTGGCAATCTCTATTACCTGAAGATGGAGTAACACTCCGAAACGTTGTAAACAATAAAATTGTTTTATTTTTAAACATGTGGTCGTTGTTAATTCCAAGAAATTATACAAAATGAGGCTTAGAGACAGTTCGATACTAAAATTATGCGAGATATTAGTGAAGGTTTCATATATTTAGTAATTTTTTATCCACAAGGTAACTAAGGCAAACCATTAGAAAAACTAGAGGGCACTCAGAGACTGCATACCTCCGCCCTACGCGCAAACTATTGAAGTAATCTATTGTTATTGGAATGGCTGGTGCATAAATTATACACGTCCTAATTACGCATTCAGTATAAAGTTTTATTTAATTGACCGGGAAAAGCAAGACAAACTTTTGTTATTTCTCATTGAATTTTTAACCAAATTCAACCAAATTTTAATCAGTTCTTCCTTAGCCGGTGGGAAATACATTCAAAAAATTTCGTATGGATATGGTTGGTATTTCTTGAGTTATCGTGCTCACAGACAAACACACACACACACATACACATACAAAATCAGATGATTACATAACCTCCTGGCGGAGGTAACAACAACATCAACAAGTAGCAAAATTAAAAATGAAAATGTGGCAGGATTTCTACAATAGCATATGTTCCCATGCAGAAAATCAGTAATATTAGAAAGTTATAAACAAGAAAAAAGCGAAGGACTCGGATTCTGCTACACCACATCTTATGCATATTGTTTTCCACTTCTGGGGCTGTCAGTATCATAATGCATCCCCTGCTTGAAGGTATATTTACAACGCTGCAATATTTGTCACACCAAACGCGAGATGCACGTTACAGTTACTGTTTTCAGTTGTAGCGGTCGTCAAATGACATTTACCAAATATCGTTACAGGTAAACTATGTAAAGCGTTTCTCTTTTGAGTTCATAACTCATTTGGAATTTCCCTAATTGCTTTGCATGTTTGCTAAGGTGCAAATCCTTGGATGGAATTTGCAATGTTCCTAAGCTAATTAATTAAATGTTCCTCACTTCTGTTCAAAGGTCCTAACTTCTTGTTCTGTTCTTTGCGTTGTGATTGGTAATTTTTTTAGACCAATCAGAAAACCATGCAAATATCCCCATAATAAATAAAAATTAAGTACAAATACATGATCAGAAATTGTCCTAATGTCATAATTTCAATGCCTGAACCATGCCAAGTGTACGGATGCGTAAAATATTGATAGGTACATGCATACATTACAATATCTGTTGTATGCACAAGCGAACAGCGCATTACCCTGGATTCCAGAGCCTTCGACAGTAAATAATAAATTGAAATGTGATTGGCGCGGCTTAATCAAAGAATCGCCCTGTTGAACCAGAGCCTTCACAACATTTCAATTTATTATTTACTGTCGAAGGCTCTGGAATCCAGGGTAACAGCACATTGGCATTGTGTTGAAAGAAATGGGGGTTTTATTTGACACTTGTATTAAGACTTAAGCGCTACGTTAAATTAATGAACAAGTGTATTAATTCATATGTTGACATGTTGGATGAAATGGAAGATCTTTTAAAAATAATTTCCCATGCATAAAATTCAATTAAATAATTCGTGTTTGTACGCCCCCGTGGCTTAGCGTGTATAGTGTTTGGGAATTGAAAGTATAACAATAGGCTAATTTCTAAAGGTCTTCTTTTTTATACACCCTGTACTTTAAATCATCAATAATCCATTAGAAAACACGAAAGAAATTAATATGCTAGTGCTTTGAAATTCAGGCAAATTACATAATCGATCAGTTTGAGAAGTTAGTTCAAATCCTTGTAAAGTCGGAAGTCGAGTATTACTTCTAGCTTTTACGCAACCTTATATCAAACAAATTCGGGACACATGCAAATTTACAAAATGTTCGGGGACACACAGAGTACTGTATATACAAACTGTTGAATTCGATATCCGATGTGACAATCTTATATATAGGAAGTAGCCACTTAAAGGTGATGTAAAGTCCGTTCTGTGCATACGTTCTGCACAGGCCTGCATTCCAAAGGTCAGACGCAACCATTGGAATGTTATTAATATTTCACACCTTCCGAACTTCCTAGTTGAATCTCTAGTCTGCATTAATTTACAAGCATGGCGAACCGGGAAAGTGTTAGAAATTCTGAATCAGTAGTAATATATATCTAATCATATTTTACAACTGTAGAGCTGAGTTCAAAATGTATTAAACAAAGCGTCTTTACATTAACTTTTAAAAATTAAGAACAGGTTTTCACGTTTAAAGCCCTTCGTCTGGTAGGTTGTAACACAGGTTATCAAAAATATACAGTAGTACAAGTTCAAAATGAGAATATAATATTGAAAACATATGTTATTTGAAATTTTGTAAACAATATGCAAGTAAGTGCATTCCAAGCTCGTCAATTGTAATGTTATTAATTGGCAACAAACACTCATGATCAAGATAGTATAACAATATCTAAATATACCTATAACCACTCTTTGAGTAGTGCCTTGGGTACATGTTGAACTCCTTGGGCGCTTCATAATAGGTTCCTGGACAGAGTCTGATGTTGTTGCTGTAGTCGTTGTAATCGTAATTTGTACATTCGTATCGTTACTTGGTGTGTTTATACCGTGACCTTTATCGTTATTGTGATTCGTATTATTTACAATATCTTCGTTATGTTGATTATCAATAAAGTTGCTATCGCTATCATTGTTAGCGTTGCCTTCGTCGGCATTGTTATCATCATCGTTAGCGTTGCTGGTGTTCACGTTAGTAGTGTTATTGTTTGTGTTATTTATTATGAGCGTGGTATCTGTTGGTTTGGTGAGGTTGTAGGCGTTGTTATCATCATCGTTATTGTTGCTGGTATTGACATTGTTAATGTTATTGTTTGTGTTATTAGTGTGCGTAGAAGTAATGGTTGGGTGAGGTCGTCCGTTGTCTTTGACGTGGTTGCTGCAGCACTCCCATGACGCTTTTCTTCTACTTTCAATTCCCCTTAAAATAAAAAAGTCATACATTAACATAGCTCAAGAGTCATGCATCAACATACTGCAGCTCAATACAAAACAAGACAAGACAGGTTAGGGCAGCTAGGACATATGAATAACCACAAGAAGGCATAGATGAATAAGTAAATTTACAAATATTCATAACTAGCTACTTATGTCGCATAAAATTATCATATAGCTTTTCTACTATTTTTCCTGATTCTGTCTCGGTTAAAAACTTTGCACCTGGCCCGGTTGTTCCATGTAGATGTGTTGTGTAGCCTTTACCATGTCGTGAAAATGACAACACAATAATGTGCTGACCATGACGTTCATTTAAGACCGACGTCTACAAGAAAAATGTATTAATTTTTTTGCATATCATGTCAATAAAATTAGGAAAAGGCAATTTTGCTTTTATACTTTTATGATGATGAAACATTTGAAGAGTGGAAACCGAACAAATTTGTGCTGTTCAAAATTTTTTGTTCTCAGTGTAGCTATATAAACCTAAAAGATTTTCTTAGTCCAGTTTACCAGTTGATTTAACCAGCTTTTACCAGTTGATTAAAATACGCGACCAAATGTTTGGATAATAAAAAGTTATGCTTGTCAACGACTGAAAAATAATTTGTATATACTCT